ATATGGCAATGAAGCAGCAAGAAGCAAGGACAATGGGACATATACCACAGGGATTTCATCTCTACACACTCCCTGGACCTCACATCAAATCACAAATCAAATACCAATTATTAGCACTCCAAGATGTTAAGAGCAGAGCATTAAGAGCAGAACCCTTCTGAGCATACGAAAGCGGCCTGTTTTTGCTTCTCACTTGTACCTTCTGGCAGTTTTTTTTAATAAAAAACTTCCTGCTCTTTCTTTCCTAAGATGCCTCTACCCAAAAGCTATATTTCAGTATAAATAGATGAAGGACTAGTGGAGGTGATATGGTGGATGATATTTGGAAAACAAGTTATTGGTTAACTGGACAAAGTTATCATTTCTTTCACTTTGTCGAAGGTTAGGATGTAATGTTACCTAAAAAAATAATCTTCAGGGGGCTGGATCCATAGTCAGCTGGTAGAGCATTTGCCTTGCACTTGGCTGACCTGGGTTCCATCCCCAGCACCCTGTATGAGCCCCGAGCACTGCCAGGAGTAATTCCTGAATGATCCCAAAAAAGGGCACACACATACAAAAAAATCTTCAGGGACCCGAAGAGATAGTTTAGCGGGTAGGGCCTGGCACACGGCTGACCCGGGTTCAATTCCCACTACCCATAAGGTCCCTCAAATCCCCCAAGAGTGATTCCTGAATGCAGAGCCAGGAGTAGTAACCCCGCCCACTGCAGAGTTGCGGCCCCAAAAGTAAACAAAAGAAAGTCTTCATAATGAATCCCTAAATTCAAAGCAATTGTTTAGGTTTCATTCATTTATTCTCTCGTTTATTGTCCCAGTGAATATTGACTACAACGAATAATGAATACTATTACTAGATACTGATGATTTAACTCTTGACAAGGGGGATATATCTTTATGCAACCGAATAAATAAGCAGCCAGTGAATGACAAGTCAGTGGCCAAAAAAAATACCAAGTCGGGGTGGGAGGCCGGGAATCTAAAGCACCAAGGAAATATAAAGCAAGGTACTAACGAAAATTTGAGGGCAGCAAATTCCGGAAGAATTTACCGCTATGATGAGAACTGCTGTATAAATAGAAGTGAGGCAGAAGGAGACTTGACTTCTGAGGAACAGACCAGCAGGAGCTAAAGCCGAGTAATAAAAAAGACATTTCCAATGAGTTCTCTTGGGGACTTCACGAGTTCGCACTTGGTTTTCAGTGTAATAGGGGGGCATGTAAGTGCGTCCTAGTCAATCAATCATGTTTGCTCGTAACTTTGAATGCCACCAAGGAGAGGACTCCGCGGTCAGCGCGCGATCAAGTAGGTGGCAGAACTGAGAACCGGGAAGAGTGGGTGGGAGTTTAGAAATGCAAAGAACTAGGCGAAGGGCTGGATCGGGAAAGGCTGAGAGCAGAAGAAAGGATTCTCCCAAACTCCTGCATCGGTCTCAGTAAGAACCCCAGTGCCTTCTTCTGAGGGTTCAAAGAAGCTGAGGTTGCGGGTCATAGCTGAATTCTTTCAGCTCCGTGCAGGGTCGCTGGAAACATTCCGCGCCCCCCCCCGCTCCCCCCAACAAAAAGGTGATCCCTCTTTTTGCATTTTTTCTTTTTTTTAATGAATCACCGTGAGATAGTTATTCACTTACAAACTTTCGTGATTATGTTTCAGTCCTATCAGGCATAGAATGATTGAGCACTCATCCTCTCCACCAATGCTCATTCTTCACCGCCAATGTTCCCAGTATCCTTCCCGCCACCCCCACCCCATCCCATCCCCTGCCTCTTTGGCAGACACATTCCCTTTTACTCTCTCTCTCCTTTGGGGTGTTATGGTTTGCAGTACAGGTGCTAAGTGGCCATCCTATTTGGTCCATAGTCTACTTTCAGCACGCATCTCCCATTCCCAGCGACCCCTACAAGCATCATGCTTTTTGCATTGAAGACGCCCAAAAGCTAAGTCGATGCACGAGGCCAACTAGTCGGGTCCACCGTCAGCAGAGGGAGCCCTCTACCACCGGCCGAAGAGCGGAGAAGCCAAACAAACTCTGGAGCCGCTGACGTTGCACGGTGGCTCCTCCCCTTAAAAAAAAATCCAACAACTCACCACAGAAAAGCGCCAGGCCCCTACCGGCTCCGAGGCCCCGCCCTCCCGGTGGGGGACCGGTTGCCCGGATGCGGAGGTCCCACCCCTGCGCCGCACGTAACTCCGCCCAGCGAGGCGGGGGGAGGGGCGGGGAGACGCGGGCCGCGTCCTGGACGGCGCCTTGGTCACGTGACAGCGCCAGCCAGCCAATGGGTGAGCGCAGCGGAAATTTCGAACGCCGTGGTGGTGATCGGCCGGCGACCGCGGCGACGGTTCCTCGGACGGGAGAGGCCGGGCGCACGGCCCTGTGTCCGGGTCACCCAGGGAACTTTGAGGAATATTGGAATGTAGCACAGAGGCGACAAGCCGCGGCCGAAGTCGTGACCAAGGTACCGTTTGTGGACGTCCCTCTGCGGAAGGCGGGTCTCCCCGGCCTGCCCCGGCAACTCCCTCCATCCGGGAGCTTTTCCCCGCAACCACGCAGTTTCTTGGGGGAAACTGAGGACGCCGGTTTGCCCGGCTGGGGACCGGGGCCGTCTCCACCCCGCTGTGTTTCTAAATTCGGTGCCCACCCCCCCGCCCACCACCCCCACCAACCATCCCGTGAGGACCGGAGAGACGAAATGCGCTTTTCCGACGATCCCGGATCCTCTTTGGGTGAAAAACCGGGCCGCCTCGCAGAAGGGAGATGTGCAGACCAAGCGTCCCCTAGGCTCAGCCTGGGAACTGCCTTTTCCGCGGGGAAGGGGTGGGTGGGACGCTTCATCCGCACACGACCCGGACGCTCTTTAGTCTGCACCGCCACCGGGTACTGGCCCGCGGCTTTCCGCTTCCTCCCTTGCCCTTACCCGAGCTGGCGCCGACCCGTGTCCTACCTGGCTTCGCCGGGGAGCGGGACTGATGACGGGGACATCCACTGTTCTAAGAAAACAAATAAATTCTGAGCCGAAATGCCGTTTTTGAGCCGGTCCTCGGCCCCGCCCCCGGCCCCTCTGTGTTCATTCCTCTGCGCCACACACCCCCCCTTTTCAGGCTAGCGCGGTGGGCTCCTGAAATGGACCGGGCAGTGGCAAGTTGATTTCTAGTTGCAAGTTCGTGAAACTGTGTCAGGAGGAAAGAAAGACTTTTTAAATTTTTTATTAGCGAAACACCCTGAGGTACAGTTGTAGACTTACAAATTTTTGTCCTTGGGTTTCGATTATACAAGAATCAAATACCCATCCCTCCACCAGTGCCCATTTTCCATCACGATGGATCCCAGTTCCACCCCCATCCCCCCCATCCCACCCTGCCTCTGTGCATTCCCTTTTGGAAGAACGAAAGATTTTTTAAAAGGTGCAGCCTGGCTTTAAAAAAAAAATCACTGGATCGGTTTACTTAAGCTGCGTGGCTCTTCCAAAAAAAAAAAAATGCGTCCTGTTGTATGTCGTTTGTGAGTGGGTTCGTTTAACGAGTTGTGGCTAGTCTCCTGGAAACATCCTGATTTATACTGTGTGTGCATTGCTGAGGGCGGGGGGGGAGGGGGGGGGCGGATAACCTAAATAAGACATGCGATATCTTCCCTACATGAAAAGCAAATAAGAGGGGAAGGAATATTCAAGAAAATGGATGATTCAAGAAACAATTTGAGTAGTTTAGAAGAGCTAAAGAGATCCTTTTAAGTGAAAATTGCATGCACCGAACTATAGAAAATTTGGATTGGAGGTTTTGGTGGGGGATGGGGCCTTCTTCATGTGAAGCATGCAGTTCCGCCTGTCCAGCTATCTCTCCAGGCCTGGAAAAAATAAACTTTTATTTAAAATATTTTTTAACTATAGAAAAAATATTTTTCAATTTTAAAATCTGCAAAGTGCAGTCTAGGATGAAAGATGTTCATGAAAAATAGCTTTGCATGCTCAGCAGCAGAATATGGCAGCATATCTGATTGGCATTGAAAGATTAAGTACACTTAGAAGTATAAATGCACTCAATAGTATATTTCATTGTCCATGCAAGTTTTGCTACTTGTAACTGCCAATTGTGACTTCATGTCTTATTTTTTATGCTCATGATTTAACGGTAGTTAATAGACCTTAGTTTTAGAAATAACTTTGAGGGAAAGTGGCATATTCCTCTGTCCCAGTTCCTGCTTCGAGCTCTATACATTCTAAACCATGTTAAGATTATATTACAACTAACTGGGTAAAATTACTAGTGCTACGTAGTTTAAACTGCTAAAATTAATTTGAAAACAAGTTCTTGAATGGGGTAAAATGGTGTGGGAGAGAAATACGTAATCAGTTGCCCTATTTTGATAAATTTTCTAATATAGTGAGTCTGAGCAAGAGTACAGTGGATTGAGTGTTTGCCTTGCTACCGGCCAACCCAGGTTTGATCCTTAGTGTCCCATATGATCCTCAGAGCCTGCTAGGAGTGATCCCTTAGCACAGAGTCAGGAATAAGCTCTGATCACCACCAGGTGTAGCCCAAAAACCAATATATAGTAAAGGTAGAATAAATATAGAGAACATATGGCAAACAAAGCCCAAATATATTATTAGCTCTAAACACTGTTGGTCATAAATACTGTCTGTGGAAAATAAACACCAATTGCATCAGGACATATCATTAAGCATTTCCAAGAGTGTCTGGTATGTAGTAATTCTCCAAGGAAAATTGGTTAAGGAATAAATAAATAGCATATTACAGAAGTTTGGGGGTTAGGAACCCAGTTATTAGTCTCCCTCAACAAATACCTGATGAGGGTAATATGCCAAAAATATTAATGAGATTTAAAACTAAAAATTCTTTTTAGCTTTAATTTGCAGTTAATCCTATATTACTATGCGTTCAGTTCATTCTTTATGAATAACCTATGTTTTCAATCTTGTTTTATGCTTGATTTATCTCTTAGAAAATTTGAATGTTTGATTATTTCAAATTTCTACTCAGAAGATGGCCAAGGAACGGTGCCTTAAAAAGTCTTTTCAAGACAGTCTTGAAGAAATAAAAAAACGAATGAAAGAAAAAAGGAATAAAAACTTGGCAGAGGTTGGCAAGCGAAAGTCTTTTATCACTGCACCAGGCCAGATAACTAGTAAGTAATTTTCATTTTGTCCTTTTGTATCACTTTTTAATTAAATATTTAATAACTAATTTTATTTTTCTTCTTAGCGAACACTTCTGCGCTACTGAAAAACTACCAAGACAACAACAGAATGTTGGTTGTAGCTTTGGAAAATGAAAAAAGCAAAGTGAGAGAAGCCCAAGATATCATTCTACAACTGAAAAAAGAATGTTACTATCTTACATATCAGCTCTATAAATTAAAAGAAAAGCTTATTTCACAACAAACAGAAGAGCTTGAGCAGGTACTTCCATTCAAGGATGCAATTTTTGGAGCAAGAGCAATAGTATAGTGTTTGCTTTGCACCTAGGTTCAGTCCATGCTACCCCTTTAGCCTGAGCCTGCCAGGAGTAATCTCTGAAACAGACAGAAGTAAGCCCTGAGCACCACCAGTGTGGCCAGAGCATTTAAAAAAAAAAAAATTATGGGCAGAATTTCTAAAGAAATAAAATCATGAATTAGTTTAGATCAGGTCATATTACTTAAATCACAGGTGACTATCTGTTACTAGTGAATTGATCAAAACATGTTCCATGTTGCATTACTCTTGTATCTATATGGCTAGTTCAGGACGCTTTAAGCGTGTAGGTAATTGAGTGTTGTGTTTGATTCACTTAGTTCTGAAAACGGGTAACAAGACAGTTCTGAGGAGTTTAGCCTTTCACACTGCCAGATGCTCTGAATATTTAACTGAGTCAGTAATAGAAAAACAAGGCTAAAAATCTAAAAGTAATCGTTGAATCAGACTGTCATTGTCACTGTCCTCCCATTGTGCATCAATTTGCTCGAGCGGGCCCAGTAACATCTCCATTGTGAGATTTGTTACTGTGTTTGGCATATCCAATACATCACAGGTAGCTGGCCAGGCTTTGCCACTTGGGTGAGATACTCTCGGTAGCTTGCCAGGCTCTCCGAGAGGGGTGGAGAAATCGAACCCGGCTAGGCCAGGCTATCGCTCCAGCCCTGAATCAGACTAAAATCAAAAATTTCAATCAATTCTATAAATGTTTTCATCATCCTGTTATTCGTCGATTGCCTCGAGCAGGCCCCAGTAACGTCTCTTTCATCCTAGCCCTGAGATTATATTCACGGCTCTTTAGGAGAATGAGACCCATCATTGTTACTGGTATTTGGCATATTTGGTACGCCACAGGGAGTTTACCAGACTCTGCCCTGTGGGCAGGCTACATTCGATAGCCTGCAAGTTTGTCCAAAGTAGGAATGAGATAATAAGATGTCATAAAAAAAAAGTTCTGAATGCGGCCGCGCGGTTCCGGGATCTGGATTTTATAGTCTCTGAGTCTTGGCTGCTGATGGGATTACATGGTGCCAGGGGGCCAGGTGGTGGGTGTGACCCCCGCCTACGGGAATTTGGAGGATCTGGATGGAAGATGCTCGACTCCAATCCGAGTAGACTTGGAGGTCTCGGCCCCGGAACCCGCGTGGCTTTGTCCCTCTGCCAGTACCTTCATGTGTGCGGAGAGTGGTCTCAGCATGGTGGTGGCTGGTCCTGGAGGTCTTCGGCTGCCGGAGCCCCGGTAGGGGCAGGGCGGGGAGGAAAGCTCAACCCGCTCCCCTCCAACTAACTATAAATGTTAGTTTCTCTGTGTAGTTTTACTATATCCATTTGGTGGGCAGTTTTTCATAAGAATAATCCTTATTTATTTGGAGGGTACTTTTTAGAAAGTCTTTTTTTTTTAAGTTAGTGAGATAATAATTATGAACATTTTGCCAGTCATGTTTTTTGGATAATTGGATAATTGGTGTGTACTAGGTTGTATTAAGAGCCAACCAAAATTATAACGAACATGAAAAAATCTTGATTTAGAATATTTGTGTTTCCTCGCGTGTTAATCCCAAGAAGAGTAATGATGAGCCAATTTCTCCTTTCTTTTTCTCAGACACCACTGCCAAGGAAAGTACATAGGAGAAAGAGAAGGAGTGGTGGCAGATAGTATCAGAACAGTTTATTTTCTTCACAAGTGACCATCTGTTTGCTATGTCAATTAAGACAGTTGTGTTGGCATTTAGGCAAGGAAACCAGACAAGAATGTGAGATTAGGGACTGGAGAGATAGCACAGCGGGTAGGGCATTTGCCTTGCATGCGGCTGAACCAGGTTCGATTCCTGGCATCCTATATGGTCCCCTGAGCACCACCAGGAGTGACTTCTGAGTGCAGAGCCGGGAGTAACCCCTGTGCATTGCCAGGAGTGACCCAAAAAGCAAAGAAAAAAAAAAAGAATGTGAGATTGGGGGGCTGGATCAATCATACCCTTGCTTTGCATGTGGCTGACCCAGTCTTGATCCCTAGTATCCCTTACGGTCCCGGAGCACCACCAGGGTTTTTCTCCTTACTGAATAGCTTACTTCCAGCTGCCATGCAAGTGTGCTTTAGAAGCTCTCACCTTAAGAGGAAAAGAAAATGCATACTCTCATGCTTCATACCCCTATATCTCATTTCACCGATTCTTTTTCAGGACAGACATGTTCTAAAGAAAACAGTGCACTTACTACCTTCTTCCTCAGTTTCCATTCACATTTGAATTCACTCTTATGCACCTTTTATCCTTAGCATGCTATATTCTGTCAAGAACACCACAACCTTCCAGTTAATCAAATTCACTTGGCAAGCCTTGTTTTACTTAACACTGAAGTAACACACAACACTGATTATTTATTACATTGTTTTCATCCCTTAACTTTCTTACCATCATGCTGTCCTGGTTTTCTATCTCTGTTCTATGTTAGTCTCTTTTGGTGACTTCTTTACTCTTTTTTTTTTTTTAACATTTAAGTTTTTTCCATACAGAGCAGCTAAATAATAGAAAATTTTAAAGCGAAGAACTGTAAAATTTAATTTTACGTTTCACACTTGGAGCTAAAGACTTGATTATATCTATGAAGTAAATTTTGAAACCAGGCAATAAGACATAAACAGGTGACTCATTCATACTTTACTGGCAATGTCAACTACATTTTGTTTTAAAGTTAGTTTGGTTTCTACTTTTAAATGTCAATTGTCATGGACCCCTGTTATTTTACTCTTACACCCCCTCCCCAAAATTTTAAATTATGTGCACATGGATAAGGGGTGGTATCTGATCTAATTAACCACTTAAATATTTATTAAAAACATCAAATGAACTGTGTGCAAAAGCACAATTTATTGCCCCACACTAAAAGGAAATGGCATATATGTACCAGTCTCCTTACGGCTGGTTAACAAAACAACAAAACCGTTTATTCATTTGCTTAAGTCGAAAGCATAAGGCTTCCCTCTTCCTCATTACCCTTACCTCTACCCATATTCCATTTGAGCATGCTGTTTTAGTTTCTGGTTTTGGTTTGGTAGTTACACCCTCAACACAGGCTTTACTCCTGTCTGTGCTTAGGGATGACTTCTGGTGGTGCTCTGAGGACCATTTGTGGTGTCAGATATCAAGCCCAGGTTGGCCTTGAGCAGGGCAAGTATCCTACCCACTGTACTTCTCCTTGGCTCTCACCACTCTGTTATCTCAAAATTTTTACTGGGCTTTACCTATTGAATTTTAGTTTTAAGTAAAGATGTCTCAACTCCTGCTTCAACTCTTTCCAGATTCCTTGCCCCATTCCATGTTTCACACATGAATAGCCAGACATAAAATTTTATTTTTTAATTAGAGCATTTTACTCTCCTGCTTAAAATTCAGGTGATTTCCTATTACACTGGTCTAAAATTAATGTTCATAGTTCGTAAGATTTTTGCTTCTCCTGTTTTCATTAACTATGTTCTAGGCACATTACTTTTCTGTATATATAACAAGGTTTCTTCTCATAATGACTTTTGAATTTTTAGTTTCCCCGATTTCTCTTTCAGTTTTCTCTCAATGACTAACTCCTTTGCATTCTTCAGATTTCAGACAAAAGTTACCCTATCTAAAAAAGCCCTCAAACCCTCATTTTTTTCTTTCACTTCATCCATGAGTATTTCTGTTTAGCCACTACCACTATGTGAGATTATTTATATATCCTTTTTCTTTGGTAAATATCTTTCCCTCTACTTGAATGAAAGTTTTAAGAAGATAGAGATTACTCTTAATTTTTAGCTTCTATAGGCCTGGTTCAGATACTGGTATCCAATACCAGTGAACTGTCAATAGTATTTATTATTGTATTGGATGCTTTGTTATGAATATTTAAGTTATAACAGTGTATTTGTTTTAATACACTTAGCAAAACCAAGAATTATATCCCTCTGGAATGGACCCCACAAGTGACGACAACAACTCTGGTGATTTATTTGTGAAGGATTTAATGTTAGTATCAAATTCATTATTATTATTATTATTATTATTAACACCAAAACTTAATTCTGTGATCCATTTATAAATTTAAATATGCATCATATTTGGAGTCTAATATTGTCTCTACTGGTTATCTTTTAAGAAAACTCATGTTGAAATTCTGGCATATATAGCAAACTAATTTTTTTTTAACTTTTTTAATTAGTCTTGAGTTTTTAAACAATTATTTTTGACCATGCTTGTCTTAATCTTTTTGAGAGAGGTTTTGCATTCAAAACCTTATTCAAAAATACCACGATGGCATTCTGCCAGTACTAGAAATTGTCTAGTTTAGAAGACAAGTGTATATAATTTGCATATTAAACATTATTGTTAACATGTCACCCACTGTCTTGCTAATCTAATTCATTCTTAAAGTCACCACTAAGTATACTTAGCTTGCTTATGAATTATGGATACAATTATGTACAGTGAAATACACTGATATTAACTGTGCATGGCACCGTCCAATGAATTTGACACATATAGTATTATAACCTAGCCCTAGTTACCTTTTTTTTTATTGTTGCACTCAGGAATATCTCCTGGCAGAGCTCTCAGGACCATATGGGATGACGGAGATTGAACCAGGGTTGGCTAAGTGCAAGCCAAATACCCTACTCCCAGCACCATCAGCCCCACCCCAAGTGGTTACCTTTTGGACCTGATTGTTCTTTATGTGGTGGGATGTCCTTGGCATTGTGGGATAGCTCACAGCATCTTGGGCTTCTACCTACTAAATGAGAGTAGCCCTTGGAGAAGCATACTGCACCTAGTAAGAATACATGCCATAAAACAATGCCATGTGTATCCCTTTGCATATATGCATCTCTCTACTCATAGAAGTAATAACTGCCCCCCCAAAAAAGTAAACCCACCTCCTAAAAAGTAATCAAACTGTTTTTTGGTTTTTTTTTTAATGTTTTATAGATCAATTCTATATAGCTTTTCCTCTAGTTAAGTTCAAGCTTATTATAGATTATGGCCTGTTTTCGGATGATGTTTCATCTTCTAGTGGGCGATGAATGACAATAACATATCAGCTTCTATGTAATCACACATAAATCTCTTTTGGTGGGGTGAGGGAGATGGCTTGGGGGACTGGAGCTCATGCTTTGTACATTGTGGGAAATGCGGGTTCAGTCCTCTGTACTGCATGCTCCCTTGAACACCACAGGGTCCATGCCCTACCCAATCCCCCTCCCCACCCCACACACACCACTCGCGCACGTGTTTTTCCTTCCTTCAACAGCAAACAAATACACTAAATTAGAATGAGATTTGGAAAGGATACTAAAGGGAAGAAAAAACTTAAAACATTAGATTCATTTCTGTTGCATAATGGCTAAATAAATGCCTATTTTTCACTGATATTTTCTAAGGCAAGTTCCTCATCAAGAAGAAACTCATCTTCCAGATCAAATAGAATCATGCCAAGTAGAAGGTAATTAAATTTCTCGTTTCTTTTTGTTTGATGTTTTATTTGTGTTCATGTGGTATTTCTCAAAGCTAAGCTCTCTCTATCTCTCTTCGTTCTCATGGGGAAGGGGTTTGGACCCACAAGCCAATGGTACTCAGGAGCTAATCCCAGCTGGGAGTCACTCCTGGTAATGCGCAGGATGCAGTGCTAGGGATTGAACTTGGGGCTTCCTGCATGTAAGAATGATCTCCAGCTCTTTACTCTCTCTCTCTCTCGCCTGCTAGCCTCTTATATAGAATAAGAGTTTTAAAATACATCCATTTATTTTGCCAACTGTGTAATCAGCAATATGGGCCTAACTAGACAAGAATCACTGATGGAGTCCCTGAATTTCGGAGCACTTCTTGTTCTCTGAGATGTTCTTTTTCTATGAATCCTATATATACAGATATATTTAGACTACTCATTTTCCTTGAAGCCTTTAAGTCAGGCACATAAAATCCCAAGCTAGCATATTTTTGAGGGTTATGTAAGATTCTTTCACAGACATAAGCCAATCATTTATATTGTCAAATAAATGTTACTATTAAGTTTCCAGGTATTTATTTACAGTAAATATGGAAAACCAATAGAATGACTATTCATTTTAGTTTTAGCTTTGAATTCTAAGATTTTTTGAAATTAAACTTTCTGCAGAGTAAAACTTTTTTCTCATTTTTTTAAATTCTCAGAGCCAATACCTACTATTTCTCATGATAGACTGGAATTTAATTTGGATTCAGATGAAGTAAAGTGTAATGATAATGCCTTACCTAGAACTGTATCTCTCCGCCACAACGTAAATAAAACTTTTAACAATCTAGATGAATTCGATACCTTGGATAATTTTGAAGTAAATCACTTTTCAGTACAGTACTCTGAATTGGAAAGACTTAGATTTGCAGACCCACTAATGAACAAACATATTTCTGCAAATAGAGGAGGAAGTGCATGTCAGTGGAATACAGGTCAAAATAGCCTATCACCAAAGATGATTTGCCCAGAAAGAGCTACTAAAGAAAGGGAGGATGTCTTAGAGTATGAATCTGCACAAATTAAAAGTGAACACAGAGATGTACAACGAAGAAAAAGAAATAAGAAAAGGCGTGACAGGAGAAAATCAAAAGGTGTGCCAAAGAATAAACGTGCAAATAAAAACCTCATTTCTCAAGAAAACGCTCACATTGATGCTTACAATTTTAATGTGGAAGAGAGTGTTCATCTTACTCCTTTCCGTCAAAAAACCCTCACATCTGAAAGGGAAGAACACAACAGTGACTGTGAAGTGGACAGCATCTGCCAATCAGGTAGTTCAGATGATTCTGATGACCTCTATATCCCCACTTGCAAGTACGATCAAGAGCACTCCAGCCAGCCAAATAGCCCCATCACCAGGCATCGATCCAAGAGAGGACTAAAATTTCCAGATACAGAAAATGAAGTGGAGGCCTCCAAGCCAGCAGATAGTCCGAGCAGTAAGTGATCTACTTCTTTGCCTATATTTTCAGTGTTTATGATATATTATCACTCGAGATGTTTATGTACTATACATGCCATCTGTTTTTCCGGGGGAGGTTTAGACCCACCATCTGCCTCATTGGAGAGAGTTACTATCTGATTAAATAGTGTGGGAGAGAAGGATGCTGAAATCACAGTTGTGTGGCTTTGACTGCTTTGAGCTCATTTAAATCCTCTTGTTTGTGGGGTTTTATTTTGAAGCTTACTCCTGGCTCTGTGCTCAGGGATCACTTGCGTGGGGGCATATCCAGTGCCCAGGATTGAACCCGTGTTGCCATGTGCAAGGCAAATGCCAACTGCCGTCCTCTGGCCCTTTAAATCCTCTAACAGCAAATACTACTTGTAATGAAGTCAGGGGAACAAATTTTGTGGAGTAAGGTTGAATTAAAATGTTCTTTTTACACACACCTGAATTATCCCCTTGAAAATGAATCTAGTGACTCATCTATTTTTTTTTCTAGTTTAGGTAACATGATTATGATAGTGTTTATGATTTTGACATATAAAATTACTATATCTTCACCACCAACCACCTTCACCACCACCAAAGTGCTTACTTAAAAAAAATTTTTTTAATTAAAAAGTTAGGGACCAGGAAGCTAGTACAGCAGTTACAGATGCATGCCTAGCATGCATCTGAACTCTGGTACCACATGGTCCCCTGAACATCACCAGGTACAGTGTTGGAGACCCAAATCACGCCTGGAAAGCCTGGATAATCCCCAGCACCTTGGCATATGAGCAGCACCACAAACTCAGGACTTACATTGAATCGCTGGCTCCAACTAGTCAAGAATCATCCATGGGGCCCCTGAATCTTCTGAGCACTGTTTGGTAGGCCCCAGAAATAAAAGGCAACTTAAGAGCTGAATGATTTTCCCAAGGTCAGCCAATTAGTATGCAAATATCTTTTGAGCATATGCTTTAATTATATTGAAATAAGCAAGAGTGGCAAAATGTTGATAATTACTAATGCTTGGTAATAAGGGCAACCCATTATATCGATTTGTTATTGGAACAATGTCACTGTCACTGTCCTCCTGTTGTTCATCGATTTGCTCGAGCGGGCCCAGTAACGTCTCCATCGTGAGACTTCTTGTTACTGTGTTTGGCATATTGAATACATCACATCACGGGTAGCTTTCCAGGCTTTGCTGTGTGGGTGAGATACTCTCGGTAGCTTGCCGGGCTCTCCAAGAGGGGTGGAGGAATCAACCCAGCTCAGCCGGGCTGGCTGTGCGCAAGGCAAACACCCTACCGCTGTGCTATCGCTCCAGCTCATTGGAACAATATTCAGTAAAATTTGTTTTTGTAGGTGAACTACCTGAAACTCCTCAATCGCCTCATTTTAGCCTGAAGGATATCACCAATGACCTCTCTCATCCTGTAGTAAGAATCAGAAAACTCTCTCTTTCTCCACAAATGACTAAAGAAAGTCCAGCAGTATCTCTGCCTAAGCGTAGATGCACAGCCAGAGTGAACTATAAGGAACCTACACTTGCTTCGTAAGTATCTGACCAGTGGGAACTCACTTTAATAATATATTTGTGGGGCAGGGCGGGGTGGGGGTTGGGGGGATTGTGCAACTTTGCTCAAAGATGAGTCTTACTTGAAGCACATAATTTTTTATTTAAAAACCTGCAGTGGGATATTAATATTGGCATTTTTTACATACAGTAGCTTCTAATGAAGGGTGCTTTAATATTAGACCTTCGTTACTATACATAAGATCTCTTTTTTTACCCTTATAGGAAGCTGAGAAGAGGGGACCCTTTTACAGATTTGTGTTTCTTGAATTCACCTATTTTCAAGCAGAAAAGGGATTCTAGGCGCAGTTCTAAAAGGAAAAAAAGTATGCCCCACATACGATGACATGTTTGTTCACTGCTCTTTGAAACTCATCCTTCACTTCCTTCGATGGCTCTAGGAGAGAATCTGTAAGATAATACCTGAGTGTCAGTTAAACTATTGTCATAGAATATTCTCCTAACAGGACTCTAGATCATGAACATTTTTTCAAAACTGTACTTCAAATGTTATGTTTATTCTTAGCAAATCTGGTTATTTTTAAAATATAAATAACTAGACCAAAAACGCTGTAAGCTTCATACTTTTTCTTTAATTTTAGTACAATATAGATTCTAGAAAAATTTTGGAAATTACGATCTATTCATATGTTTCTGCCAACTTTACTTTTCCCTAAGTGAAAAATATTCCAATAAATGTATCAGAACAGGACCATAACATAAATTCTTGACGTTGAAAGTAGAATATTCCAAGTTGCTTATAGATTCCTTAAACTGTTCTACTTAGTTTTTCAATAAAATGTATATAAAAATCCTAATTAAAGAATGCTTGCTTGTGGGGTTGGAGCAATAGCACAGCGGGCAGTTTGCCTTGCAGGTGGCCGACCCAGGTTCGATTCCCAGCATCCCGAGCACTGCCAGGAGTAATTCCTGAGTACATGAGCCAGGAGTAACCCCTGTGCAAAGCCGGGTGTGACCCAAAAAAGAAAAAAAAAAGTGACTAGTTCTGAGCCCCAATCTCTATATATTTTTCAAATTGATAGCTAAAAAAATCACAATATATTGTAACATGAACTATCAGAACAATTTCCTACTTAGTCAAAAATTCAAATGTGTATGTATGGGTAGGAGAACTGAAGGCAGCTGAGGTCACACCCAACTGTGCAGAGTTACTACTGGCTCTGCTCAGGAGACCATATGTGATACCCCAGATCAAATCAGACTTCAGCCAAGTGAAAGACAAGTGCCTTTATCCCTGTGTCCCTGTGGCCCAAATAAGCCCTCTGAGTTTTTCACGATTTTTTAAATTTGGGTTGAGGTATTTTTTTTGTTGGTTGGGGGCTGTTGTTTGGGGCCATCCTAGTGGTATTTATGGCTTACTCCTGGTAGTGCTTGGAGGATCATATGTGGTACCAGAGATCAAATCAGAGTTGGCAGTATGCAAGGCAAGTGCCTTAGCTCCTGCACTCTCTGTCTCTCCAGCTTAAATGTGTATTTTTGACCAGCCTATTTTTAACAACCTATAAATTGTTCTGTTCTAAAAGTACAAGCTTCCACTTGTATATACTTATTAAATTTTAAGGCATTTTAGGTTATCTTTTTAAAAAAAAATAGTAGTAATAAAGCTTGTCTAAAATAGCACTTTTTTTTCTTCTATTCTCTAAGGATCAAAGCTACCTGGCCTCTGACCTTGTAAAATTTATATACTTACCTTGTAAAATTTCCTGTAAGCATTATCCTAAACTCAGTTTGCTCACTATACTTTCACCCTTCCACTTCTCTCTTCCACAAATTCTTTACTGAACGACTCTTCCAATCTTGACACCCAAGTTTGACTGCATCTCCATCTTTCTGCATTCCACATTAATCACAAACAGAATCCTTTTTGTCACTCCAAATTTTCTATCCCTAAAGGAATATGTATATAATTTACACTCTATATATAATTTAACTTGTCCTGTCACAGTTTTTTCTGTTTGCTCAACCTTTGATTTTATATAAACATGAATTTCTCAGCCAAAGATGGCTCAACAGGTATTTCTGTTTTGCCTGCAGAAAGCCAGAGTTCGAACCTGGGTACCATTTGGTCCCTGTGTACTTATGGGAACAAGCTTTGAGCACCAAGTCAGGAGTGATTCCCTGAGCACTGCTAGCTGTGGGACCCCAAAACAAACATGAGTTTCTAACTTAAGGACTAAATATAGTTTGGGATTCAGTCCCCAACACCAATAAATTTAAAATACAAATAAAAATTCAATCTCTTGGTCCCAGTAGCCTCATTTCATGTGCTCAATAGCTACTTGGCTGCTAGATACTATGTTGAGGACATCAGATAAAGAAGAATATTTTTACCTAGAAAATTACTGAACAAGCTGCCCAAGGCCAGTTGTGAGCCACATTCCGCCCTCTGCCTGGGTTTGTATGGTCTACACGCTAAGAATAGTTCACTTTTTGTGGTTTTGAAGCCATACTGGATGTTCAGGGCTTACTCCTAGTGGAGCTCAGGGGACTCATAGGGGTGAAACTCAGGTCAACTACATGCATAGCAAGTGCCCTGCCCCCTTGTACTATTTCTCCAGCTGCTACTAAGAATAGTTTTTGTTTTTTAAAAAAGAAAATTAAAAAAAAATTTTTTTTGGTAAAACACCAACTTTGGACCTCAAAAAGTATATAATGTATTTAATTTTTTTTCGACCTGCAAACCCTAAAATACTTTCCATCTCTTTATTGACTTTGCCAGCTCCTGCCCTAAATAATCAACTACAATTACCTTTACTTTACAGATCCTTCACTCCTGACCTTTTTTTAACCTAGCTTTGATCCTTCCCTTCCCTTTATTAAGTCAGTTAATCTAAATTTGGTATTTTTTCCTTTGATCTTATATTTTTATATTTCTATTTTTTTTATAATGTTATGATGTACATATCTTTCTGTAACTTTTAACTCAATGTTGTTTTTGGATTTATCCATGTTGGAAGATGTAGATTTTCATCATTGTTTCACTATATAAACCATGTTTAATCCTTTTGTGAGTTTGCTTCAACTTTTTCATTGTTACATATTCATGCTACTAAGAATTTTCTCTATCCTTGTACACATATGACTAAATTTCCATGGAACTGATACCTGACAGTGAAGTTGCCATCTAAAGTGGTTGTACCAGCTAAGAGAAATAGCACAGGGACCAAGGTTCCTGCCTTCCATCCTGCCCATCCTTATTCAAATACTGGCATCACTAACAGTCGGTCCGCTGAACACAGCAGGATGTGGGCCCAGCACCTCACAAAAAAAAATTTAAAAACAAAGTACTAAATGGTCATTCTCATTCCTTCTCAGATTGCTTATCATTTACGGTCAGAGAGATAGTATAGCATGTAGGGCGGATTTCCTGCATAAGGCTGACTGGTTATGATTCCCGGCATCCCATATGAGCATCCCATTTGGTCCCCAAGCATTGCTAGGAGTAGTTCCTAGGTATAGAGTCAATAACTCCTAAGCATCACTGGGTGTGGCCCCCAAAAAAACAAAAAGAATTGCTTTTCATTTTCCTACTTTTCTAACATAGTTTTTCTTCAAATGTTTTCTAGATACTATTCTTGTCCTTATTCATATGAATTATAGATATCTTTCCTCAGTTTCCCCTTGTTTTTATACCATGTTTATGTTTTGATGTTTAACTTAGTATTTTTCATTCCTTTTTCTTAAGGCTTTTGTCTAAAACTTATAGTTTTGCTTTTACTTAGTTCTTTAAATCAGATGCATGTATTATAGAAGGAAGACTATTATTTTTCTCATCAGAACAGCCTTTGGCATGTCTCTGGCCCCATATTTGTCATTTTATGGCCTTTATGCCTGCTTTCTTTTGTATTTAAACCATTTTGCTCACTTTGCTTTTTTTGTTTTGTTAGATTTTTTTCAAAAGACCAGATAACTGTTTTCTTCCTTTTCTATCAATTTGTGCTCTACCTTTTCTATCAGTTTCATTTATGTTCTTTGGGTTTGCACTTCTAGATTTCTAACCTCACTCTAACTCCGAAATTTTTATGCCCTTCTTAACTAATGTTTTCACAAAGATGTGTTTCTGTCCCTCTTTATCACACTGCCTCTTTAGTCTCATATAATTGTATTTGTTTCCTTAAGTTTAAGTATCTTCTCTTTTTTCCCCCATGACTTTTATTAATCTATTGATTACTTAAAATTATTTTGTGTTTTTTTTTGTTTTGTTTTTAGGGGGTAGGGTTGTTCAGGGGCCACACCCAACAGTGGTCAGGGCTTTAAATGAGGGAGATCTGCCACATTTAAGATCTTCTGTACTGTCTTCAGCCAGTTTTCAGAACTACGAAAGTGGCCAAGTGGAAAAGCTTGAGAACCTATGTTTGAACTGCAGCACCATGGAGGGTGGTGAGGGGGGAATTTTTTTCTTACACTTTGGAGTTCATCCTTGGTTGACCCTGTTAGACAGCCTATTTAAACTTCAGTGTTTGTTATAGTTTAAGTAACATGGTGAGAGTAGTCTTAACTTCCAAGATTTTGATTTACAAAGTTTCTAAACCTTTAAAACCAACAAAGAGCCCAGGACCACTACTTAGCTTACCTCTAGCCCTCCTTTTCCTACTCCCCCTCACTATTTGGAAATCTCAGTTCTTCAGTCCGGTGCAAAGGATTTGTCAACCATTGATAAGGTCTGTTCCCTTGTTTTGTCTCTTTACAAACTCACAGATGAGATCAGACCACATTTGTTCTTCCTCTGATTTATTTCACTTAACATGAAGTAGCAAGTTGTAGCAAACTGCATTATTTCATTTTTTTCTTACATTGTGTATACATACCACAACTTCTTTATCCATTTTTTTAAATCACTCCATTGCCATTTGGTTGGCCATTCAGTTATTTCCATATTCTGGCTACTGTACTGGCCATAGCTCTGACTGTAATTGTGCATGTATCTTCTTGAACTTTCTGCTTTCTTGCATAGATCCCAAGACTTTTTACAATTATAACTAATTTTCTTTTAGATTCTAGTTCTTTTATATTAGGTTATTACTTGCTGCTTGACAACCACTGTAGCTCTGTCCTCCTGTTGTTCATCGATTTCCTCAAGCAGGCCCAGTAATGTTCTCCATTGTGAGACTTGTTGTTACTGTATTTGGCATATCGAATATATCATATGTAGTTTGCCAGGCTTTGCTGTGCAGGCAAGATACACTCAGTAGCTTGCTGGGCTCTTCGAGAGGGGCGGAGGAATTGAACTCAGCTTTGCCGGGTCGACCACATGCAAGGCAAGCGCCCTACCTGCTGTGCTATCGCTCCAGCCCTGACAACCACTATTTTATATCATTTAAGGAT